CTTTGGCTGGGTGAAAGTGTTGCATTTTTTCTATAGTGCTCCATTAAAGGGTTGTTTATGCCTTCTACTTATTACCGTAATGCTGTGCCCCCTCTACCTCGCTGACTTTTAACAGTGTAGTGGCGTGAACTAGTGCTTAGGCTCCGTTCATGTTTGGCGACTCGAGGACTTTAGTCTTAGTACCTTAGTGCGACTGCAACAGACCCTACCGGCAACCGTTGAACCGCTGCAACGGTTTAGAGAAGTTCTTTTCTGAACCTGGTTGACGGCAGCGGTCCCACGATTACGGCGACGTCAGTTGCTCTTTGAAGAACTCGAATTGCCAAGTGTGAACGCGGCTTGACACAGTATTTGGGGTGGCTTTTTGTACCAAGTTTCGTTCCCATTGTGCCTTTTTCAGACACTTGGTTTTGTATCGGTACCACTGCCAATTGAAGAAGCGCATCGTGTTGATTACGAGATGGTGGATTTGACTGGAACAGCGAGCCTAAATAACGAGGTTCCTATAATAACTGTAGGTTTTAAGATCAAACATCGGTTTCTGAAAACTTTCTATCTTTCAAGATACTCTGTATGATTACCTGCGCAATAGATCCTTGTCGGTGCGAGGTAAGTAGGCCAACAACTGTAGAACCGCTGTGTACCACTTATTACAAAATGCGCAGAAATGAAGTTGGGGGGGGGGTTGTGGTAGCTGGGTGCCGTTTTGGATAAACCTCTATCCACAACGTACGGCATGCTCGTCTCGAGCAACGTGAATGGCAAGATCATTATCGCGGCATGGGTGGAGAACAGTGTAGGGTGAATCTGGAGAACAACTTGAAACGGCTGTGACGGTAGGCGGTCAAGACATTCGTGATTTGCACCGTCGTGCGAGGCGATGAGCGCGTGTTTTCTCAAGTTGCATTAGTTTGTCGATTGGAGCACTATATTTTGTGTAAACATAGATGTTTATGGCTATTTTCGGTTACACTTTGTCTATTGTCGCTATGTTGCAACCCCGAAACATCGTCATTTGTGAGCACGTCGTCGCAGGCGACGTCCACCAGCGTGGCATACGGTTGTTTTGTCACATACTCGAATGGAACAGGTAGCGCGTTTGGCTATAACTAGGTGCTATCGTTTGGTCATGCGGCATTTTCCATGTGCGTGCTTGCCTGTGGGTGCAGTATATGAATCGGCATCTGGTTATCCCTAGCTTCGAGCCCCATTCCGGTGCGCTGCAGACTAAAGAAAAAGTCACTTTACCCCTTGCACATGGCAAGGATCAGGATCCACAGAGGTGAGCGTACAGCATACATTTTAGATAACCTTATGGATTTAGATGTCCTTGGAAGCGAGTGATATAGTAAAACGTCCAAGTAGTGGAAATCGTGCTCATTCGAGTACAAGCTCGTGGAGTGAGCAGCATGGCGTCTCCAGAGGGACCAGCCCTCCTTTCCGATCCGCGTCAACAGGTCCATCCACGATGCGTTCATCTCACAATGAAGATTACTTGATCACGGCTACACGTGAGGAGTTGGAAGAGAAACTGAAGTAGGCATCTCTTCACCTCGTACTTTTGAAGTTTTGTAAATGTAGGCGTTTCAGGCGAAATCTCTCTGATCTGGATCGAATGATTAGAATAATCAAAGAATGATCTCTGACCAGCTATGCTGTCTGTATATGTAATTGCTTCACTTTATATACCTGTACTATACTTCACTTACAGTTCATTTTGTAATACTTGGTATTATCTGTTCTAAGAACATTCTGCTCATGATAAAACTCATATCAATTAAGCGATAGTAAAGACATCGTTAATATGTAGCATGTCTGGTGGACTGGAAATAAAATTGAAAACGTATTTCGCGAGCTATCTTAAATGGTTAGCGTTTTTCGCAAAAAAGAAAAGTCGCAATATTGCTAACAATGGCGAAAAATGCTATTGGTCCAATAAATATGTGCATTAAAAGGCCTGCGCACTTGGCATGTAAAATCTCAAAAAATGGTGCACACACCCGCTCCTTTCGCGAGGTGCTTTAGAACGGTGTGCTATTCACTTCAAAGGCAAAGTTCATAATCAAATGGGCGAGGCTCCTCACCATTCCGCTTCCTTGTTCGCGCACCCCTGCACATCAAAAGGACAAAACCGCAATGGTTGAGTCTTCTCCCAGCTATGTTTCCATCTAGTTATAGCAGAATACATTTCAAAGGTGTCAAGAAATAGCTGAAAGGGTGTCCGATTTACCTAGCTCGTCAACTTCTCTTTCTGGACCAACTGGTGGGGTGGCAAAAAG